ACGTATATATATCATATCATCTGCAAATAAAGATGCTTGACTTCTTCCTTTCCAATTTGTATTCGCTGATCTCATGGTTGCATTTGCTTCTTTTTGTTGTAAGAATTTCCAGGTGTGCTGCTAAGTTGCTAGTATGTGATCTCTCCCAATTTTTTATGAAGGCACTTAGTGCTATGAACTTTCCTCTTAGCACCGCTTTCATTGTGTTCAATAAGTTTTGGTATGTCATGTTTTCATTTTCATTGACTTCTAAGAAGGCTTTAATATCTATTTCTTCCTTGACACGGTAGTCACTTAGTAGAGAGTCATTCAGTTTCCATGGGTGTGCAGACTTTCTCTTGTTTCTGTCGTTGTTGAAGTTCAGTTTACCCCATGGTAGTCTGATAGGACACGGCGGGGGTTATGTCTGTTTGATCTGGTGAGACTTACTGTGTGACCAAGTGTTCTCTTAGGGGCTGAGAAGAAAGCATATTCTCTTTTGTTTGACTGAAATGTTCTATAGCTGTCTGCTAGATCCATTTGGTTCATAACATCTGTTAGCTCCAGTATTTATCTGTTTAGTTTTTGCCTATAGTATTATCTACCCATTGATAAGAGTCTCCTATTACAATGTATGAGGGTCAATGTCTAATTTTATCTTCAGTAATGTTTATTGTATGTACTTGGGTGCCCTTGTGTTTGGGACATAGATGTTCAGAACTGAGACTTCATCTTGGTGATTTTTTTTCTTTGTTGAATATGTAGTGTTCCCAATCTTTTTTGGTTAGCTTTGGTTGGAAGTCTATTTTTGTTAGATATTAAAAATTTGCTATATCAGCTTGCTTATTGCTTCCATTTGCTTGGAAAATATTTTTCTAACCTTTTACTCTGAGATAATGTCTGTCTTTGATGTTGAGGAGAGTTTCTTGTATGCAGCAAAAGAATGGGTCCTGCCTTTTCACCCACTCTGTTAGCTTGTCTCTATTAATTGTGAATTGAATATGTTGATATTGAGAGATATTAATGACCAATGATTGTTAATTCCTGTTATTTTGTTGTTGTTGTTGTTGTTGCTGCTGCTGCTGCTGGTGTGTTTGTACAGCATAATACCCAGAATGTACTCTTACATGGGCACGGTTACTTTCTTCTGATTTTTCTGGTGTGAGATTATTTATTTCCTATGTTTTTGTGGATGTAGTTAATCTCCTTAGGTTGAAATTTTCCTTCTAGCACTTTCTATAGGACTCATTTTGTGGGTAGATAATGCTTGAATTTGATTTTGTTGTGGAATGTCTTGTTTTCTCCATGTATAGTGATGGAAATTTTGCTGAGTATAGTAATCCAGTCTGGCATCTGTGGTCTCTTTAGTCTGCAAGACATCTTACCAGGGCCTTTTCACTTTTTGGATATCCATTGAAAAGTCGGGTATAATTCTAATAGGTCTGCCCTTATATATATTGCTTGGCCTTTTCCCCTTTCAGTTTTTAATATTTTCTTTGTTGTGTATGTTTAATGTTTTCATTATTATGTGACAGGGAAACTTTCTTTTCTGTCCTAATCCATTTGTTGTGTTAACTTCTTGTACCTTTATAGGCATCTCTTTCTTTAGGACGTGTTTGAGACCAGACCAGCACATGCTTACACAGGGTGGCAGATAGTCCATAACTATCTGTTTATGAGGAAGACCTCCCAAGGACCCTTACAACCCCTGTCCATCAAGGATTGACTGGGTTTCAGTCTTCCAAGGCCCCTGCATTGTACAAGATCTTTCTTTCTGTGTGCCTGGTTGTGTGTACTTCCTCACACCTATTTTTAAATTGGGAAATAAAGTAAAACTTTAAATTATTTAGCCTTGTGATTGAGGACTGAAACAGCACATCCTCTGTCTCAGGAACATTTAAATCCAAAATGTCTCCATTATTCGTGTTTAAGTGTTACAAAGCTGTTGTCTGATGATGCTGAAAAGATGCTGGGCTATCATTCGTCAGTCATAAGAGTTACATGGTGTCCCGGAGTCATCATGTAGCCATTAGTATTTTCCTTTGTGTTTTTCATTATGAATGAAGCAGAGGGATAGAAATTCTGCTTAATTAATGAATAGAAACACATTTTAAACAGCGTGGGTTCTCTCTCTCTCTCTCTCTCTCTCTCTCTCTCTCTGTGTGTGTGTGTGTGTGTGTGTGTGTTTGTCCCTGTTTATGTGCCACATGCATTCAGGAGCCAGAAGAGGTCAGAAGTGGAGTCAGATCCCTGGAACTGGAGTTATAGATGGTCATGAGCTGCCATGTTGATGCTGGGAACCAAACCTGGGTTCTCTGAAACAACAAATGTTCTTAACCTCTGAGACATCTACCCTGTAGAAACAAATAGTTAAAGACAATTATTACTTTAGGTTGCATATGCTTTCTTGTGGACTGTTATGTGCTGTGATATAATATGCCAGAAACAAGAACTGAGGTTTGATGGGAGATGTCATTTTGTAAATAAATTTCTCTTATTGGTTAATGAATAAAGCACTGTTGGCAAATAGGAAGGCAAGACAGGCGGGACTAGGAGACAAGGAGGATTCTGGGAGATGTAGTGGAGGAGATTCAAGATGTAGAGCCTTCAGAGAAGAGGTCTGGAATCTCTCTCCTGGTAAGATAAGACCACATGGAAATGCTTAGATTAATAGAAATGGGCTACTATTTAAGGCAGAGCTAGCCAATAAGAAACACTAGTAACTGGCCAACAGCTTTATATCTAATACAGAGTCCCAGTGTGTTATTTGGGGCTGACACTGCTGTGGGACCAAGCTGGTGGAAAACTACTCCTAACAGAGACATAAGGGTGGCTGAGGCTCAGGTCATGTTTTGAGGAACTTGCAATGTCTAGAAGAGACCCGTGAACGGTTGATAGGAATGCTGTGTAGATAGATAGCTTCCACTGGTGATCACAAAAGAGCAATTTCTTAGAATCTCCATCTAACCACAAAAAACTGGATGACTAGAAAAATAATGTGAAAACATGATTTTAGATATTCATAAGAAGAAATGTGCTGGCTTGTGATCCTGCAGAGATCACAACAGAGTGTAGAAACATATAGCACAGCTGAGATCATGGAGTCTCGCAGACTGCTACAGCCAGGATTTGCCCTTGGTTCTGGGTTTTCTCAGGATCCCCTTGGGATTGATTGTGTCCCCAAACATCAAAAAGCAGTTTGGAGAGAACTATGACCAAATTCCCAAATAATGTTTATAAATGTTAGTTTTCATTTTGACAGGGTTAGTTATAAATGATTAATGATCATAGTCAATCTCTTTCTAAAGAGAAAAATATAATATGATATAGAAATGAATGTTTTGCATTGATACAAATTCAAGGTCAATTTTGTTATATGTATATTTCTACTCTTGTTTATGTATAGTGTTTATACAGCTCTTTTAAAAATGCAATGTATAATTAAGTAGTCACCTATAATAGTCAAAACTTATAGTTATGTTAGTTAGGTTTTCTAGATATACAGAGATATATTTCAAATAGATATTCTTCAAAACCTTTCAAAGACCTACAAAATATAGCATTTAAAATGGCTTATAAGGGTTTTTATGACAATGAGACACAACACCAATTACATCAGAGAGGAAGATGGGTAACGAAGAAACTCAGTATGACTGAGTTTGCCTTGAATATGGCAAGACTGGACTTTTGGACAAAGAGCTGCCCTCAACTGCTGGCAGTAAGTACGCTGTCCAAGCTGGACAAGCAAGTTACAAAGGAAAGTGACTGCTGAACTTGCCAAGGGACAGGATGGTCCTTCAAGTTTCCTGCTTCACAGAAAAGTCTGCAAGACATTCTGGCCCTATGAGCTGACGATGGATGCCCCAACATTACAGAGGAATTTTGGGTCACTGTCCAGGCAGCAAAATGCCTCTGTCACGTCTACATTTTATATATTATCCTTCTGGGATCTTTGATGGCATTGAAGACAGATAGTTATGTTGTGGTTTTCCATACTTATGATAAAAGATAAACTGCATATAAAACTTCAGACTCAAAGATAGGATAGACAAAATATTTTCTTTAAGTTTTGCCAAATGTAAATGAACTAAATATTGTTAACTATAGTTCTAGCTTGGCAGCTGTTTTGTTATATATAGTTTTACTTTGTTAAAGTTAAAGCCTTCCTTTGTATTTATAAAAGAGAAGATGATGAGGGATGTTCTTCAGCATTTGTTAGTTAGTGAATGAAGCTGTTTCAGCCACAGGCAGGAAGTAAATGCGGGACTTCCAGACTAGGAGAAGGCTGGGGAGAGGACACAGGGAGTGAGTCTTGAGGGAGACGCCATGTAGCTGCCGAGAAAGCAAGATGTTTGGGCATCACCAGTAAGCCAAGACCATGTGGAGATACACAGATTAATAGAAATTGGTAAATAATTAAGAGAGAGCTAGTCGATAAGAAGCCCGAGCCATTGGCGAAACAGTTTATAATTAATATAGGCTTCTGCATGTGTATTTGGGACTAAATGTCTGCAGGACCAAGCGGCACAGAAGCTTCCATCTACACTGCATCCCCTTTGGTGAGCCTAACTTACCTATCATACTGGTGATTAATGCATGCTGGTTAGTTTACTAAAGAGAGCTCCTTAGGTGATCAAGGGAATGCAGTTGGGACTTTAAATTGACCACATGCTGTCTCGATTTTTATTGAGTAACAAAATGTTAGTCATTGATGCTATATTTAAAAACTCCAAAGCCTGAATGCTTTCCCTTATTTATCTCTGTATATTTTCAATTTTATATTTTATGTTTCTGTGAATAATGCTGTTAGAGATTTTATGGGGATGGCACGGCATGTGTATACTGCTCTGGGGAATTTGGGTAGTGTAAAAGCTTTGATTCTGATTCAGGGATGGGGTTGTTTCTGTTTAGTCCTGTCTTTGTTGTCTCTTATCCGTGATGGTTTTCGGTGCACATGTTGTTAATGTTTTTGAATAAGTTCATTCTTTGCTACCTTTTAATGATAAACTATTTGTTCCTAGAAATGAAGTCAATGGAATGTGACAACGGCCACTTACAGGAACTACAAAGACAAAAAAGTCAACTGTTACAAGAATTATTTACTCTCCAGAAAAAGCTTAAAGGTATTCTAAAAGTATTCGAGTCATGAGTCTTTTTATCCTGCTAGCCAAGGCAGTGGTATGCATATGACTGCATTGGGTTTTTATTTAATGACACAATACCCTGTATCCTGGTAGGTGGTATTTCTGCTGTTCTGTACAAGTAATGGATAGAATACACAACTGAATTCTTTGTTGTTAAAGGTTTTTTTTGTTTGTTTGTTTTTTTTTTTTTTTTTTTTTTTTTTGTCTATTTTGTTTTGTTTTTCCAGTTGTAGGGATTGAGTTTAGGGCCTACACAAACTACTAGGAGAACTCTACCACTGAGCTGTAACCTCAACTCTTTCTACTATTTTTTGTTTGAAGAAAGGGCTTACATTGCCCATCCTGGTCTTGAACTAGCATCTCTCCTGCTGTAGCCTCCTAAATAGCTGGGATTTTAGGCCTGCACCACCAGGCCTGGCTAGAGGTGATGTTTGTTACATCCAAATTCTGTGAAGATCTTTTGTGCCCATAATTGCTATATTAAATTAGAAAATAAAAATAATTCTCATGTATGTTTGACATGCAAAACAGAAAGCAAGAGTTTTCATAAGAGACTAAAGATATCTTCTTTGTTCAATTCTTAAATGACTATAAAACTTTTCTTAATTGTTTAGTTCTTAAAGATGAAGAGACTGAAGCCATCTGTAACACCAAATATCTAGAGGCAGAAAAAATAAAAGTCAAGGAAAAGCCTCAACATGATGCTGAATGCTTGAGGTGAGCATTTGCTTCTATGTCTGCACGTAAGAGCCAATAGTGCTTTAAAATGTGAAATGGTTTCAGTTCAAAGCTGAGAGCAGGCTTTTGAAGCCCCAGCAAAGACTGCATTTGCAATTGTGTGTGTCCTGAAACTTGCTGACAGGCAAACCCTTCCCTGGCCAGAACACGCTACATGTCAGTGCACAGTGCACAGGGCATGGGGGGGTGTGTGGGGAATTCAAGTTTACTTTCTATCTCATAGACTATTACTCTCATCTCAATAGTTAATGTTTCTACAGTCACAACCTACTGTCTCTTAAGATTTTTAAAAACCTTTTTGATGATTATTGACATTTTTGTGATCACCTTGGCTGGTGTTGTTTTAAAGAAGGTCCTGGGATTCATAGAAAAGTCAACCCCATTACTCAGCCTATAGAGAAGTCAATGGAGCTTGCTTCCACATAAATCACATAGGAAATATGTCCACCAGAGCTAAACAAATGCTTCATATTAACGGTGTATTGCCCCTGGTCACCATTGTAGGAGACTTGAGAAAATATTTTCAATTTAATTTTGTGTTAAGCTTTAGGAGCCTCAAATATCAGGCTCTTGGGCAATGTGTGGATGAGAGTTAGTCTCTGTGATGACCTCTGCTCATTGGCTTCTTACACTTGTTAAATGGCAGAGCCCATGATGTCCCGTCCCCTGAGGGAAGGTGAAACTCCCAAAGCTGTGAGAAAATGTAAAGACACATGGCGACAGAAACATCAGTGTGTGTGTCTGCTACATTCCTCATTTTAGTACTTACTAATGAGATGCCAACATTTATCAGTTTACATCTTAAATCTTTGTATGTATGCTTTTTCCTGTAGAAGAGCATTTTATTAAAAATCCCTAGTTGTAAAGAAAATGAAAGTGTTGAAAATTAGGACTTTTGGAAAAAAAGATCAACTTCTCATTAGTGGAATAGCAAGAAATTAAAGATGAAAATGATATTAGATTTATTGATCATCAAAAGGTAGAAAATTAAGCTGATTATATCTTAATATTGGATTATAACTATAACTATAACTGCATATAAAGCTATATACACACATACATAGATATGTATGTATACACACACACAACACACACACACACACACACACACATATATATATGTATGTAGAGAGAGAGAGAGAGAGAGACAGAGCATTTATTGCAGCATCTGGGTTGAGCACCTGCACAAATGTTGACAGTCCTGAGAGGGGTGTGGAGTGTGCAGGGGTTTCAGGGACAGTTAGATTATCTCATGCATAATTGATTAACAAGCAGCACTTACATCAGTATACTTTTAATCGGCCGAGGTTCAATCCTATCATGTTTGGACATACTTACACAAGTTTGGGCAAGTCCAGACATGACTCAGAAAGTGTGGGGTGTGGGAGTATCGGGGGTGTGGGGGAGTAGGGGTGGGGGCGGCTGCAGGATTTGTACTTGAGACACTGTGGGGCTGATTCAGGCTTTGGATGTGCTCTCCCCTTCATCCCTGAATGTAAGGGTTTTGCCCTTCTCAGAGAACTGAACCGTAAATTCAGTTGTAAATGTGGGAAAGTTTAAATGTTCATATGTTTAAACATATATTGCATTCCCTACTAGCATTTTTCTTAAATTTTCAGATATTATCTTTTTCAGGGTAGATATTACTTTTATAGCAGAATTTCCACGACTTGGCACTACTTTAAATTTAGGCCAGATTATCCTTGTTCTAGGTGTTGGTCCTGTGCATTCTACGGTATTTAGTAGCTGCTATGTACCCAGAGTTAAAGCCCTCATAGTTGATTTGTGATTCTCAAGAGCACAGCATAGGCCTTCCTTCATGCCTCCCTGTCTCCTCCTTTCCTCTCCAGTAGTTAACCTCGAGTTAGGTTTCAAGAGACAGCCTCAGAGCCCACTCTGCAGGCTCTGGTCTCCAGCTCTGAACCCACTCTGCAGGCTCTGGTCTCCAGCTCTGAGCCCACTCTGCAGGCTCTGGTCTCCAGCTCTGAGCCCACTCTGTAGGCTCTGGTCTCCAGCTCTGAACCCACTCTGTAGGCTCTGGTCTCCAGCTCTGAGCCCACTCTGCAGGCTCTGGTCTCCAGCTCTGAGCCCACTCTGTAGGCTCTGGTCTCCAGCTCTGAGCCCACTCTGCAGGCTCTGGTCTCCAGCTCTGAGCCCACTCTGCAGGCTCTGGTCTCCAGCTCTGAGCCCACTCTGTAGGCTCTGGTCTCCAGCTCTGAGCCCACTCTGTAGGCTCTGGTCTCCAGCTCTGAACCCACTCTGCAGGCTCTGGTCTCCAGCTCTGAACCCACTCTGTAGGCTCTGGTCTCCAGCCTCTGAACCCACTCTGTAGGCTCTGGTCTCCAGCTCTGAGCCCACTCTGTAGGCTCTGGTCTCCAGCTCTGAGCCCACTCTGTAGGCTCTGGTCTCCAGCTCTGAACCCACTCTGCAGGCTCTGGTCTCCAGCTCTGAGCCCACTCTGTAGGCTCTGGTCTCCAGCTCTGAACCCACTCTCTAGGCTCTGGTTTCCAGCTCTGAGCCCACTCTGTAGGCTCTGGTCTCCAGCTCTGAGCCCACTCTGTAGGCTCTGGTCTCCAGCTCTGAACCCACTCTGTAGGCTCTGGTCCCCAGCCTCTGAACCCACTCTGTAGGCTCTGGTCTCCAGCTCTGAACCCACTCTGTAGGCTCTGGTCCCCAGCCTCTGAACCCACTCTGTAGGCTCTGGTCTCCAGCTCTGAACCCACTCTGTAGGCTCTGGTCTCCAGCTCTGAACCCACTCTGTAGGCTTTGGTCTGGCCTCCCCACCCCACTCCACCTCCACAGTTTGCTTCTTCTCGCTATCGGAGGTTTCTTGAGCTTCTCCACTTCTGTTTCCATCGCTCTTACCCACATTCAAGCTACCACTCCGTCTCTCTCACCAGATCTCAGTCACAACCCCTTTTCTGCTTTTCTGCTTGCCTTGCCGCACTCTGGTAGCCTCCAATCTGTGGTAAATTGAATCCCATCATTCCTTTTACCGAAGTTAATGAACATAATAAAGCCTAAAGTCCTTGTGACCTAAATGACCTCAATATGGCCCCTTCTTGCTGTGCTACCACAAACCTGCTAATCTTTCATCCACCTAAAGACCTTTGTAACCACTGTTTTCCTTCCCCTCCAAGCTGTCAGTTCCCTGCCCTACCTGCCTGCTTACCTATGCTTGGTGAGCAGTGACCCTTCCTAGGTATCAGCTAAAATATTTCTTTAGACAATCCTCTGTCCTGTTTCAAAATCATGTCACCTGTTATTTTTCCCAGGAGCATCCTGCAGTTTCCTTTTATAGTTCATTCTGTGACTTAGAATCATAAACATCATTTTGTCAGTGTCCATTTAAACTTTGTGCCAAGTAAGAAGAATCTTGTTTACTCTGGGCACCGGTGTTACTTACAGTTTAAAGCTGTGGTAGATGTTAGCGTTCAATAAATAGAGGGAAATGGATGAATTATGAATTCCGAAAGCTTTCTGCTACTCTCCAGTTCTCAGTGCTTATAGTTGTGTTATATTCGTGTGCTGTAGTGTTTGTCCATCTGTTTCACCAGTCTGGGAACTCCTCGTGTTTCTTCATAGCACAGTCCAGGTGTGCGGTGCCCAACACACGTTTGCCCCAGTGATAGAGCCTGGATATTATTGAATTTTCACTGCAAAAAATGTGAAAACACTTCATGTGTTGTCGGGCTGATACACAGACATTGTGTGTTGTGACTGCTAGACTAAGATCATTTGAAATGGATTTCTTTGCACTTCTGATTATTGTCTTCAGTGAAAGAATGGTAGCTAGTTTAACCTCACATCTCCCCTCTGTCCAGCTATGTGGCTCACTATGGAGGAATGACTCTGCCAGAGGTGGGCAGTATGAGGGTATCGCCATTCCTAGTCATTTTTCTTTGGATTGTGTCAGAGATGCATTCCTCTGTGCATCTGCACCCTCGGGGTTTAAGTTACAGAACTCCATAGGAGAAACCTGGGGGTCTAGTGGCACCTCTAAGGATGGGAGGGGTTAGATTAGTCCAATTGCAGGGTTCAGGGTTAGAAAGTCTTGCCTTCAGATCAAGCTAGGTTCTTTAGAGCTGGTTCTATCAGCAGTAGAGGAGATGTGTTTGTCCACTCTGCACTTCTTGTTTCTCAGTTAGGCAGAGGGTGGTTTTTGTTCATTTTTTAAAATGTTTTGTTTGCTGCTGCTGCTGCTGCTTCTTCCTTCTTCTTCTCCTCCTCCTCCTCCCTCTCCCTCTCCCTCTCCCCCTCCCTCTCCCCCTCCCTCTCCCTCTCCTTCTCCTCCTACTTCTTCACTCTAAGTAGTACAAATATCAAAACAGGCCACTTTAAGTATTTCAGGCATTTTTAACCAATAAAAATTCTTTTCTGAGTGATTTTATATCTTACATAACCAGTATTTGTATGTGTTATGTACAACAAGAAGCTGTAATAGAAGAAATCTGCAAAATCAACATGAGATTTTCACCCTGAATACTTAAAAGATAATGTGGATTCTGCAATGAAAAATGCACAAAAAATTAATCTGCATCTGCTACTGAGAAACTCTGAGCACATTTCTAGCAGTAGTAAAGCCACTTGGAAGCCCCTTCCATGGTCATCCAGTCCAGCTGGTCAGAGAGGGCACAGTGATGGTTCTGGAATTATAAGATACATCAACAAATTATGGGGTTAAAATCTCTCACCCTCTCCAGCAGATGCACATACATATATACATATCCCAAATATGTATGCACATTGAAATTATGAGAGTAGGATATTTTGATTGAAGAAACATGTAAGCACTACAGTAGTGTAAAGGTCGCCCTGATGCATGAAGCATAACAACTTATTAACATTTTGTGAGCATCCTATTAGGGTTTGTGCATTTTTCTGTCTGTGTCCACGTGTGTAAGCATTTGGATGCATGTGTGTTCACATGTATTTTGAATAGTCAGGTTCACATTCAATGGGACCACATTCAATGCTGA